GTGTCCATCATCCCACAGTTATCCTTGCCCTGTGGCTGGGCATCCATCGCCTCATGGCTGCCATCACCCTATAGCCACCCTCACCCCATGGATGCCTTCACCCCAGGGCTGGGACATCCTTACTCCATGGTTGGGTGCCCATTACCCCAACTGTGATTACCCCACAGCTGTTCTTGCCATACTCACCCCTTGGCCCCTCCTGCCCCATGACTGGGCTATCTTTACCCCATGGTTGGGTGTCCACTGACTCATGGCTGGGCTACCCTCACTCCATAGCTGCCATCACCCCGCATCACCCCATGGCTGCTCTCGCCCTATGACTGGATCATTTTTACCCCATGATTTGGTGTTCATCATCCCACAGCTCTCCGTGCCCCATGGCTGGGCCATTCTCATCCCACAGTTGGGTGTCCATAAACCCACGATTAAGTGTCCATAAACCCATGACTGGGTGCCCATAACCCCACGCTTAGCTGCCCACCACCCTATGGCAGACCCGCCCCCACCTCACCCTGCCCTCACCCCACAGCTGGGTGCCCATCACCCCACACCAGGACCCCTGTCACCCCACAGCTGAGTGCCCACCCCTACCCCACAGCCCCCCTTGCCTCCCTCCCTCCCTCCTTCCCTCTCCCCCAGCCAGGGGTCCCATTGGGGAGCTCCGAGTGGTCCCTGTGCCCATCCCACCCCATTCCCCCCTTCCCATGGGACCGACCCCCTCTCCCCACAGCCCAGGGGGGTGAGCAGACCATCCCCATGGTACCAGGAATACCCACCCCGCGGGTGGGAACGCCGTGCTCCTCCCCGGCTTTTAATCCCGCTGCTCCGGCACCGCATCGCCGTGAAAATAAGGGGTGAGATCGGGGATGGCAGCAGACGGAGGGCTTGCGGTAGACATCAGCCCCTGAATGAAACCCCCTGCCCCATCCTGACTGGGACAACTGGGGAACAGTGGGGTCCCGGAGGAGCTCCCCGTGCCTGCCCAGGCGGATCGTGGGTGGTGAGTGAGCTCCGGAGCAGGGATCGAGAGCGGACTCGACTCCCACCTCCTTAAGGGAACAAAAAGAATATTTTATTCTTTCAGTCGATCATCAGGTTTGCTTCTACTTTCTATCCAGATTTTGTTTTCCAGGGCAGGGCGTGCAGACCCAGCACTGCACTGTTTGCAGCGTGAAGTAGCAAACTGTAATACCTCTCAGTAAACTCTGATTGGTTATTTAATTAATACTATTTCCACCATCCACAAGGGGTAAGGAGATTTTTTTCAGGTCCTGGAGAGGGGGACAGAAAGGTAAATTTGGCAGCGTGGGGTCCTGGGGGTTAATTCTGCATTTTCCTGCACTTTCTGCTATAATAGATTTGCCTCCCCCCCGCCTTGTGCTGCCGTCAGGAGTTTTTTGGGGCTGCCGGGGACAGCAGCCACGCGCTCCATCCCACCGCCGTCGCTGCAAGGAGAAAGCAACCCGGGGAAGGAGACGACAAAGTGCCACAGGTAATTAGCCAAAGTGATGGGGAAAGGGCGAGAGGGAGGACTGAGCACGGGGTCGGAGTGAGCGGGATGCTGCGAGACATCTCAGCCAGAGCAGTGACGGGAAGGTGATGGGGGAAATATACAATTTTCCTGGGGGAAATACCCAAGGGGACGAGATAAGGGGATGAGGAAGAGGTGGGGAGGAGATAAGGGGATGGGGGAGAGGTGGGAGACATCCCTCCTGCTGAGCGGGGTGGCTGGAGGCTGGCAGGTGAATCACTAAGAGCAAGAAGAAATGCGGGAGCGCCTCTTTTTCCCCGCTGCATGTCAGCACAGCTCCCAGCTACTTTCCATGCAGCATCCCCAGCCCCTGCCCCCAGGCTGGCTGCTCCCTGCAGAAGCACAGCCGCTGGTTAACCTCTTCCTAACCAAGTTCCCGTTTTCCCTACACCAAAGCTTGGATTTGTCTGCCCTTGTTCACTCTCTAAAAAAAAAAATCACTGCTGGTGAGGGCTGGAAAAGAGGATCTAGACCTTGGGGACAGACCTTGGTTCTTCTGGGTGTAAGAACCTCAGCATTTTTCTTTCCTGTTCAGGGCTAATTTTCTGGTCTCTGCCCGACTCCAAGGCAGGGAGGAGAAGCAGAGCTGGTCCCACCTCAGCATGGCTCACAGCCAGCTCCCGAATGACTCCTGGCAGAACGGCTCAGCCCCTCTCTTCACTGGCCTTGACCTCCTCCTGGAGCTCAAACCGCTCTTCATCCCACTCTATGCCACCCTGGTGGCCGTGGCATGCACAGGGAACCTCTTCCTCATCCTCCTCATCGCTCTCACCAAGAAGCTGCACTGCACCACCAATTTCCTGATAGGGAACCTGGCCGCAGCTGACTTCATCATGTGCCTGGCCTGTGTCCCGCTGACTGTCTCCTACGCCTTTGAGGTGCGGGGCTGGCTCTTTGGGATGTTCATGTGTTACTTCGTCACCTTGATGCAGGCCGCCACCGTCTTTGTCTCGGTGCTGTCCCTCACGGCCATCGCTGTTGACCGGTATGTTGTCGTGGCGTACCCCATCCGCCGGAGGATCAGCCGCAAGTCCTGCATCTGCATCGTGGCCTGCATCTGGTTGCTCTCCATCATGGCCTCTGTCCCCACCTCCCTGCACACCCAGTACTTGGATCTCAACACCATTGGCCATGACATGATCATCTGTGAAGAGTTTTGGAAGCATGAGGAGAGGGAGAGGTTGCTGTACTCGTGCTTGATGCTCCTCCTGTCCTACATGCTCCCACTGTTGGCCGTGTCAGTCTCCTTCTGTGCCATTACCTACCACCTACGGAGGAGGAACATCCCGGGTGCTGCCTACCCCTGCCAAGACAAATGGACCAAAACCAAGCAGAAAACCTTCCGCGTGCTCACCGTCTCGGTGGTGTGCTTCGCGATCTGCTGGCTGCCCCTCCAGGTGGTGAACTTCATCAGAGACATCGACGAGGAGTTCACCATCTTGGACAAGAGGTACGTGAACGTCATCCAGGTCTCGTGCCACTTGATCGCCATGAGCTCTGCCTGCTACAACCCCTTCATCTACGCCTCCCTCCACGACAAGTTCCGCTTCCACCTCAGCAGCTACTTCTACCGCAAGAAGAAGAGCTCCAGCATCGTGTCCTGCAAGGCCTCGCGATTCAACACTTGCTCCACGCTGGCAGATGCTCCAGCTGGGGTCTCAGATAAGATAGCTTTGCAAACCAGGTTCTCTTAGCTGAAGTTCCCCAAAAGACTTACTTGCTCTCAGATCTGGCGTACACTTTGCTTTAGGCTGGACGTAGGAGCTGGTTGTGGTGGTTTGTTGCTGTTCCCAGAAGGTCTCTTGTGCCTGGCAAGGAGCAAGCACAAGGCAAGCAGCAGATGGGATGGGTGTCTTCGAGGAGCAGCTCCTCTGAGCAGCTCAGGGATGTTTTTTTCTTGGCAGCAAAGCAAAATGGTGCAACAACAACCACCACAGCCACGCAAAAGTGGAGCAGTCCTGAGCAGGACTTGCCTGCTAGCCCTTGTGCAGACACATGCAGGACCTCGGGTAGGTGTTTCCATAAGGCACAGCTAGAGAGAAGCAAGTGTCAATGAAGCAGCGGTTGCTTGCCTGTTGGAACAGAACAATGTACATATATCCAGATGAATGACTGGACACGTAACCAGTCTGATATAGTGCTCTAAGCCTCAGTTTTCAGAAATGCCTATGCATCAACACGTCCAGAGTCTGCCTCAATGTTTGCCCTTGCTCCGTGTGCCAAGGAGAAGTGCTGGGTCGTGCAGTGCAGTTGGGTACGGGGATCTATACCCTGTATCTTCAATCACAGCTGGCTATAGTAGGTGGCTGGTGTTGTATCCAGCACAAAGACCTCTCCTCATGGTGTATTCAGGGGTGGGTCAGCTTCTCAGCAAGGTGTTGGGTGCATTTAATACATGTTGGGTGCATTTAAACAAGTCTTTGGGCTGCACGTCTTCATTTTGCGGGATAAAAATTGTTCCTAAGCAACAGATAGCATTTTCTGCCTCTGGAGGAGCACCAGCTCTCGCAGGTAGCAGTTAAATAGCTGTGCATTTTTTTTTTCCTTTTGTTTAAATTGCAGTCCATTGGTGAAAGGACAATACACAGCCAGAAACACGCATTCTTCTGTCAGCGAGGATATGGGTACATGTGGCTACCTGTAGCAGATGGCTTGTTTTGAACGGGGGGAAGACTTCCATAATGTACTTGTCCTTCTGAAGGAGTCACCTGTGTAACCTCACTTGGAGGTCCCGATTTCTCAAGTCATCAGCGTGCAGCCAAACAAGGCAGATGTAGCCGGGGCACATCAGTAAGCTTCAGGCAGTTCTTCATAGACAGGTAGGGCTCAAGGGAATGGGGTGGTTGGTGAGTACAACGTCAGTTTGTGTGCTTGCTGGGGAAGAAGTTTTTATCCCTGCACAGAGTAGTTTAAGACCGTGTAAATCCATGTTCATGCTCCTTGGGTGGCAGTGGGAATCCTGGTGATGGGCTGCTGTAACCCAGAAACTGCTGGATAAAGGGCAGGTTGGACTCTTCTTGGTGTCTACAGATGCTTGGCACATCTGTGGTCCACCAGCCAGCGCTGTGCAGGCAGCACAGCAAGAAGGCAGCATCTCTTTGTTGGCCAGCTCAGCTTTAACCTCTTGATTTCCCATGAAGAATCATTTGGAGACATCAGCCCAAGGGCACCACCCACACACAATCACAGAACTGGGCTAGTTGGAAGGGACCTCAAAGCCCATCCAGTTCCAGCCCCCTGCCATGGCAGGGATGCCACCCACTAGATCAGGTTGCCCAGGGTCTTGTCCAGCCTGGCCTTGCACACCTCCAGGGATGCTCACCATGAGCGCTGAGTTTCAGGGTCACAACTGCTGCAGGCCACCTAAGGCAATGCCTTTGTGCCACCAACCACTGCTGTGCTCCATGGGGCCAAGTCACGGATCTCCCACTGCTCTTCATGGCCAGGGATAGGACTTCAAAGCCCTCAGGTGGCAGGTCCTCACCTCTGGATGAAAGCTCTCCATAGCCTTGGCCATCACTCCTTCAGTGCAAACAAAGCTGGCAGACCCTAACAATTTTGGGGAACCATGTGCTGTTGACTCGCCTTCCTGCTGCGACATTTATGGTCCTAATGGTCATCCTGGCACATCAACGTGTGTTCAGCTGGCTGAGATGAGGACCCACCAAACTGCAATTCCACTCACCCCGTTTGCTTCTTACAGCTTTCCTGTGGCTACGTGCTCAGGAGCAGAGGCCAGAACTGCTCGTGCTGGAGGAGCAAAGCAGAGCAAGCCAGGAGCACTGCTTGTCCCTTCCTCTAATAAAGGCTTAAAAAGCTCAGGCTGTGTGTTTGTATTGATCCGAATCCCCCAAAAATAAGGTCTGCAGTTGCTCTCCTTGAGTGCATCTTGATCACATCGCAGGAAACCAATCAATTTGGAGATGTTTTTCTCTGCCACCATCACTGGCTGCTGCTTGGGGGTCAGCTGGTGATCAGGACCAGAGCACCAGGGGCTGCCTGAGGTTTTGGGAGAGCTCTGCCAAGAAACAGCTCTGTATTTAATTGATTTTTTACTTATTTTTTATTTTATTTTTATTATATACATATTTTTTTCATTTACAAGGTAATGACTCACGCTGTGTTTTTGCTCACTTTGATTTCTCACCACAGCACCACAAATATCCCGTACCCACCTGAAATTTTGCGATAGAAAATAATTGGTCTCGCAGGCAAGGGCAGCCTCTGAGCCACTTCCCTTCATGCTGGGAGAAGTCCCAGCATTACAAGAAAAGGCACAAACCCCACAAGTCTCCAGGCGTATCCTCATGTAATAAACCTGCTGATCAGGGACTTAAAAATCAAACTGGTACTGGGATGAGAATGTCAGCAGGCAGCACAAAACCTAGCAAAGAAAAGGGTAATGAAGTTTAAAAGCTAGCTTTTATGCTGGTGCATGTAAGGTGGATGTTTTCAGGGCTGAACTATAGGGGTTTCCTATTCAACAGGTCCAACTCCAGACAGCTCCCCTGGAGCCAGAATTGCTGTAAAGTCTCCTATGCTCAGTAGCACCAAGAGGGGCTCTGAGCTTCTAAGGGCAGTGAGATGGGTACGGAGGTTTTTCTCTATTTGGCTTTTTGGTGGAGACCTGGGGAAGGCACTAAAACAGCCTGGAGTTACTGAAAGCATTTAAGAATCTTGCAGTTTTGATGGAAAAAAGGGTGTCGCTGGTAACTCTGCACTAAATTGGGCCAGTGCACTAAGTCCTGTTTGCCCACATGTTGCTGAAGAGCACGTGGTGCTCACGGAGGCACTGTGCTTGACATGAGCACTTCTACTTTTAATTAACTCAGGAAAAAAAAATGGTATGCAAAAGTGATTAAGTCACCCCTTCCATCACACGGTGCTCGTGTTTCCCAGCTGGGTGTGAATCGTGCTGCTGAGCACAGGCTCAGAGGAAGCCTTGGACAGGGGTGAATCAGGTGGGACTCAGCAAAGTGCTCACAATCATCTTCTTAAGTCAATGTTTTTCATAAAAATCACATTTCCTCCCTGGGCTTTTGGCTCACTCAAGCTGCTTGGCTGCTCTGATTTCAGCCGTGCGGGTTGTGTTTCCTTGGGAGAGGAGAAGCACACAGCCAGGAGGAGGATGGACAGACGGACGGATTATCTGCTGGGCTCATGTTCTCCGGGAGCACTGCTTTGCTCACCTGAGCTCTTAGTGATGCTGCCATCACATTTTCTCTACCAGGCACAGAGCTGCCTACGAAACAACAGCAAAAAAAAAAAAATACACAAAAAAACAAAGGCCAACTCCAGGAGCGCTCAGGATGCTAGATAGTTTTTTCTAGATTATTTAAAGTGCTGCTTGTTCCAGTTGTACTCGGTAGCCAACATCAAACGGTACAAATAGAAATGCAAATGGGCCTTTTCATCTTGGATTTTCTGACTCCTTTGCAGCAAAGCCCATCGCAAGCAGGCATGCGCTGCTCCGTGCGGCTGTGCTCCTCCGTGGCGAGGATTGCTTTGTTCTGCCATGCAGCTTGAAAAAAAAAAAAAAAAAAAGAAGGACTCAGAGCCTGGAAGGAATAAAAATAACACATCAATCCTTAAGAAATGTGAAAAAGTAAATAATAATAATAAAAAAAACCCACCATAGTGCTGCTGCAAAGGGGAGCTAAAACAGACAGGGATGTGTCGCTCCCACCTTGTAACTGATGCTAACACCAGGGTATCGTGGGGCTTGCATGTGGTTTGGGTTTGAAATAGCCAAAGTATCCAATACTATAGAGACCTGTCTTCATTAGGAGGAATTTTTTGTGTGTGCCAGCTGGATGTCCCCAGGAGGGAGGGAAGGGAAAATGGACTCCACCTGGCCTGGCTGCAGCCGCCATCCCCGCTCTCTGCTTTGGCTCGCAGAGCTGCCGCAAGGAGGAGGTTTTCCCCGTGCTAAATACCGCACGGAAATCCCCAAATCCCCGTTTCACTTACGAGTTGAGCTAAACCTTTTGGTGACCTTTCCGCCTCATTACGTGCCGTGAGAACCGGCAGGGAAGATTTTCTTTCCCCACCCCGTGCCCAGCCCAGGCTCTGCGCATCCCTGCCGCCCAGTTCTCTGGATGCCAAGCTCCTGCTAGCAAAACCCAGGCATGCCTGCTGCCAGGGGAATTTTATTTTTCTCCTTTCAAGACAAACAGATCAAGAAGTGGCTGCTTTAATCAAGCTCGGGGAGAGTTCTGGGTCCCACTGGGGCTGTAGGACCTGCCCCCAAAGTCACTACGTGTTCCCCAAGTCAAAGCCACCTTGGGGTGTATAAGGCTGGACCTGGTCTTGCTGCTGCACTGTTTCAAGGCAGGAAGAAGCTTTTCCGGACTTTATACAGATTTTTCCCCCCATGGGATGAAGCGGTCTGGAGAACATTATCAGTGCTTGGTATTGAACAGCGTTCAGGGCTTTATGAGCAAGGCTCTCCTCTTGCTTAGTCTCACAGCAAATAAGAGCCACAAAAGCAAAATCTTTTTGACCTTTGGCTAAAGATGCAGAGAACACGAACTAAAGAGTCTGAGCATATGCAATATAAAGTCTTAAATAAGCAATTCACTCCAGCATCAGCCCTTATTTCCTGATCCTATTGCCCTGTAAAGCTGTAGGGACTTCTCCCTCTTAACTCTTAGCCAGCTGGACAGAAAAGGAGCTGGTCTTGCAGTGGGAAAAAACCTGCAAAATCCCAGGAGGAGGGTGTTAAGGGAGCAGAAGGATTTCCTACAGTGATGGGTTTGTGCGAGTGAGGAAAAACGCTTTGGGGCCATGTGTAGGTCTATGACACAGGCTTACTCTGCTCAAGGTCTCACTGAAGATTTGGGGGTTAAAAAAACCTCTTGTGGTCCACGGGTACCTACTGTGATGTGAAGCTCACCTGTGCACCCATGGTGTCCCCTGAAGGGGTGCCAGTCCATCTCCACATGCTCAAGAGTACTGAAGAATCAATTTTTTTGTGTCTTTTGGAGACCATACAAGGTTTGCTGTTCTATGCACCATTCACCATCATACTCAGGGAATGAGGATGTGGCCCCAGATGCAAACCCATTTCTTACCAAAGGATGCTAAAAAATTAAGGTAAATTCCTTTCAAATTCTATACATTAAAACACAACAAAACAAAACAACAACAACAACAAAATCCACTTTTTGGCCAAGACAAGGCAAATAAAACAAAGGTCCTTTTTACTTATTTTCACCAACTGATGAAAATCCCTGCAGATGTTAAGCCAAATCAAGCCTCTTCCAAAATCAAGGTTGCATTAGAGGCATTTACTAAATGGGCAGAGTTGGCAGATTCTCTGTTTTATAGCTATAAACAGACAAAATTTAGGTCTGTACCTATCTCCAAGTCTTGAAAATTGTGCAAATGGGGGCAGGATCCTAACCCCTCTCCCTCTGCCCCCCCCCCCCCAGATTCATCTGCATTTCCTACTATTTTGTCCAACTTAGCTTTAATCGACCTAAAAGGATGGCATTTTTACTACTTGCCTTCGGCTGTTAGTCCTCCCTCAAACCAACAGCACCATAGGAAATCAGAAGCTGTTATCCACTGTCGATTTTTTCTTTCTTAATTTCCTCTCATCACAAGCTCTATTAGCTCACCCTTAATTAAAACCCCTTGAATTGCCCTAATTAACTCCTCTTGTCTCTCTCTCTCTCTTTTTTTTTTTTTTTTTTTTTCTCAGCTGGGTCTCAGAGGCACTAACAGGCAGCTTTGAAAGAGGATCCCCACCATCCATAGTGGTGGCCCAAGGCAGGGTTGTTTCTGTGATTTCTTCCTCTCTGTCCCTTTCAGCCTCTTTTATATATTCCTATAATCTGAAATAACTCATGCCTCCAAGACCAATAAAAAAAATCAGTTCTGGGAAGCTGATCTACAAAGAATACAAGGTTTCCTTGTCCATATTTTCATGCTTGACTAGAATTTGTCATTCTCAAATGCCAGGAGAACAAATCCCCACCCCCGTGTTTCCCCCCTTGAGTTGTTTTGCTCATCTCCCCAAATTACGTGCAGGAAATGGGAAAATACTGTTTTGCAAGTGTGAGCTAAAACCCGAGTGTCTTCTGAGAATAAATTCAGAACCACTCCGCAAATTCAGGAACGACAGTCTCTGATTCAAAGAAACTGGATATATAAAGAAGAACACAATTTGTTCACTTAATGAAAGTAAATTAGACAAATCAGTGATAAAATATGTTTGAAGGCTGACTCTGTGGAGCTTTCCTCAACAGGATCCTCTTAGCTTGTTCTACCAGGAACTGGCAACTATAAACAGGGCAACTTTGTTGAATCATCTTCCATTATTAAGTCTTTTGTTGAATATTTTGCTTAAGCATATTTTCTCCTCACAAACTCTCTTGTCACCTAAAATATGGTTGATAACCCGGTGATCTTGCCAGCTTAGCATTGCTTTTGGTCTCAACTGCAACTCACAAATAGCCTTGTGACAGCCTGTTGCCATAAGCTAAAGAGACACTAAACTACCCAAAATCTAGACAAAGTTTTTATTTATTATTATTATTATTTTCATTTTTATTTTTATTAGTACGAAAGTCTTGAATGTAGGGTATGACCTCCAGGATGAAGATTCATCATCAGCCATCGACAACTATTCTCCTGGTGCTTAAATGTTTTATTAGATGATATGTTAAAACTGATAAAGACACCTGGGTTGGGGTTTTTGCACATTACAGTTGTCCAATCAGTTTTTGGCTGCACATATCTGAGCTACAATTAATTTCCAGCTCTGAGATTAATCCTTTTTTAACTGTCAAGATGAGATACAAGATGATCTGCCTTTCAGCCGAGGAAAATATTTTTGATTTATGAAATTGTTTCCTGTTAACCCCAAGACATTTAAATGCTGGCAACGTGGGACCTCCAACAAATGTTCCTTGGACTGAAACCCTCACAGTCCTTCCCAGCATATTACAGATAGGTATTTAGAGACCTGATTATCCTCTTCTCTGGTGAAAGTTGGCAGATTACAGTGCTCCCATCTGCTGGAATACATCCCAGGCATGTCTGAGACCACTTGCTTTGAGTTGTCGGTGACTTGGAAACTGGTAATACCGTGTTTACGTGGATTGTCATGTGCCTTTGCTCATGTGATCCTCCTTAAACTGATTATAATCAGTGATTTTGATACTCCAGGCACGTGGCTTTAGCCTGCCTATTTTGAGCTGGCCTGTTCTGGTCCCCCTTGCCCGCCCTGCAACATCCTTCCATCCCTGGTGGCATGGTGGCTCCTTCCACCACCATCAGGATGCTGATGCTTCCAAGACCGAGTGGTTTGAGGGCACCTCCAAGGACCACTATCACAAAACACAAGCCTTTTCCTCCAGTGCAGCCCCCAGAACCACCTCTGGGCAGGGCTGTCTCCATGTCCAGCAAGGAAAAGCAACCACACACCCTCTTCAGCCTCCCCAAGCCCGTCCATTTCTCAGCTCTTTCAGCTTTGGGCTGTTAGGAAAGATCCAAAACTTTCTTAAATCAAAGGATACCACCACCAAGTTCTTATCAGAGATCTCCAAAAGGGAAAATACTAGGGACAAATCAACAGAGGGATTTAACAACAAGGGCCCAGGTCATTCAGCCTCAGTCTGTTTAGATATCTATAGCTCTAAGAGAAAGATAATATTTATTTGTTCTTTATAAAGCACTTGAAAGATTATCATTTGAAAGAGCTTACATACATGCAAGGTACTACTGCCATTATTTGATTACCATTCAGTTTTCTCCTGCAGCAGCAAATGATGAAATCCTTCATTCTTCCTTTCAGAATAAATCGAGATGTAGCATTAGTTATAAATGTACATGAAGGATTGCTGATATTTTTTTTACATGTGTACTGAATCGCCTCTTGGAAATTTCCTCCTTTGTCTTCCAATCAGGCACAGCAAACAAAATTAGCCTGGTAATTTTCCACTAGTTTTACCTTGCTGTGTTTGTTCTGCCTTGATGTCATCAGTGATGAGAGCAATTGCAGCTGACAGCCATTAAAAGAGAACCCCCTCTGCTGAACTGGGGTCGTGGAAGAACTTGGCTGGAAAATGCTTAGGAAATGTTCATTTGTTTTCTTATTATTGTTTCCTGGTTAGTTAGGAATAACATTACAAATCCAGCCTGGGATCCCTTCATTTCTGATTTCCTTGGCAGGTCTTGCAAAACAGCTCTCATGTTTCAAACCACTTGGTTGTGCGTGGAAACTTCATCAGCTGTACAAACTGTACCCATCTTTCTTTTTAAGTCTTGGTCTCAGCTAACAAGGTAGCTTTGCAACACATACATACAGGCTTATTTTCATGTCTTCTGGGTAAAACAAACAAAGAACAACAGTTACTGCAGCTCAGTAATGATTTTTTCCCCTTGTAGATAAGCTGTTCTTTTCCCATTCACCTTCCAGAGGGGCCTCTTTATTCACAAACCCACTCAAATGTTTTGAAATCCAAAAGGATTGTTAAACAGCAGCAGAAGGGAAATTCATGTAGACCTATCAGGAGGGAATGAGAGAGCTCTTGTCCGCAGGCGGTTATAGATAACATAGAAATTAAGAAATGAGGGAGCAAGTCTGGAGAGCAGAGGGGGGGAATTTGGACATTTTGGAGCCCAGGTTTTAATATCACTCCTCTTCCCATGGAGTTTGGTTCAAAACCAGTGTCTGCAGGAGAGTGTTAGCAACCAGACTGAGATAAAGACATGCTGATCCCTCTCCTTCCTGCCCAAGCTTTCTTCTCTGATGTCTGTTTGTTTAGCTGTTGTCCCATATTAAAGAATTATTGTAGTTACGAGCTCCAGCTTGGCTTTCTTATTAGCCATGAGCAACGAGTGCTGCAGAAATAGCTCCTGTGCAAAGGTTCCCCTGAGGAGGCCCGGAGACTGTGGCCAGACTTCCCCGGCTGTGTGCCAGGCAGCAAATTTACACTCTTCTTAATGTCATGCTCTTTGGAAATGCTCTTCTCAGTGGCCGCTATTTACCTTTGGCCATTTTCTGTTACTGCAGTGGGGGAATGGCATGGTGACCAGGTGGGAAAAGGCCAGAAGCACAGAGTAGGGCTGTAACACTCCCCTGGACACCAAAACAGCGAGGTGATGGGGCAGCCGAAGCAGGGTATGCATGTTTTGGGGTGATGGAGGTGCCCTAGTGGTGTTCCTTGGTGGCTGGTGCTTTCCTGGGGCTCAGCAGAAATAAATGGAGAATTCTGATGGTTGAAACAACCAAATGGTTCAGCTTGAAGGAGAAGCAGTCCGTGATGGAGGAGTGGGAGGGGAAGTGGGAGGGCTGACAAGATGACCCCTTGCTTTTGCCTCTCTTACACCAACTTCAGAAAATAAAAATAAACCCATCTCTGCTACATTAAGCTATTACAGAGATGGGAATTGCAACAAAATGATCAGACAATAGAGGTGAAGAGGCTCCACAAGAGCCTTGTCCCAGACATGGGCAGACCAGGCTTTGTTCTGGCTCGAACCATCATCCAGGTTAGCATGGTGCTGTCACACCCCAGGGGTCTGCTGCCTTTTGTGGCCCCTGGGAATATCTGAGGCAAGCAATTACTGCAAAAATGAATATTAATGGCTTCTTTCTAAAAATGGATCACCTGTGCATGCTGTTTATGCAAGGATGCGTGTGGTTGACCCTAATTAGCAGTGGTCTGGTCCCAGCCACTTGCTGGTGTCCCCCAGGACTGTCAGCAGGTTCAACAGTGGGTCTTCCTCCTGCTTTTTTGGGAGGCACATATAGTTTTGGGAGGCCTCACTAGTACCTATGTCTTGATTTTGGGATAGTATCCACTTTGGGACAGCAATAGGGCCATGGAGAACCCCAAGGAGTCCACAGATGGTCCAGGAAAAGGTCTGTCTTGGCAATGAGGACTTCTTGCTGGGGCTCCACCAATGAAGAGGGCTGCTCCCTCATTGTTTGGGATTGTAAGAGTCATTTTGCTCTGCCAGAAAGAAACATTCATGGCCTTGCACGTCTTCATCCTGACCTAGGGAGGTCACAGCCCCAGGTCCTGCCTACACCCCACCAGCAGCACCAGCCAGGATGCTCACTCCTCAGGCATGTGCTTCTTGGGATCCTTTTCCCCTGTCTAGCAGAGGTAAAGAGGAAGGGTCATATATAAATGATAACACTTGGCTTCCCTTTACAGTCTTCGGTTGAGAGGGTCCTAAGCAAGAGGCTCAGGCAGTGAAAGTGCCAGAGTTTCCAGCAGATCACCCCTAAAGGAGCCAGCTGGCCCCGTTTCTGCTTAGCTGACATCATCAGCCAAATTGGTGTTGAGCTCTTTCAGGCTGTCAAGCTCCTCTTCCAGCAATTTGCTCCCTGCTGGAGCCTGTGGGACTTGGCAGACCTGAGTGCTCCCACTTCTACAGAAATAAGAAGTCATTTAGCCCGCGGGAGAAAAATAAATAAATAAATAAATAAAATAAATGAGTCATTCATTTTGGTGCAGGATGCCGGCCGGGTCAGGCTGCACGCAGGCTGCCTTCTGCACCAGCAGCCTGGGGAATGCTGCTGGGCAGGAGGCTGGGCTCTGAAAGGCACACAGCTGGGCTGTCATCTCCCACCCACCTGGGCTGTCCCCTCCAGGCAACCCTCTTGGGTTATTAAGAAGCATTTAAGCAGATGCTGTTGAGCAGCAGAGCAGGGATACAGAGGGATAAGCTATCTCAGCCAGCACTACATCAGCAATTTTCCTCCTTTTTGCTGTCACTGGGCTGCTCAGGGTCACTTTTCCTTTGGGGACCACCAAGCTAGGCATTCCTGAAATACATGTTAATTAACAAGCACAGTCCAGCTCTCCATCCCCACAGTCATTGCCGGATTACAAGAAACAACTTTTGCAGGCCAAGCGATGTGCTTAGCAAACTGCTGCTAACACATCTCCCTTCTCTATCTCAAACTTCATATTTTCCCATAAATTATTATCAGTGATGTAGTGATGTATTTTCAGCATCTTGCATTGACAGGGTGAGCTATGAGGAGGCCACGCTGCTTCTGAAGTCCTGAAATCATCACAGCAGCTCCCATCGGTACCCAATGTCCCAGAAAAGCTGCAGAAGTAATTGAGAGTTTAAGGCTGGGGAAGAAAGGGGACCTAGACAAACTGGTACAGGCAACACACAGTGTAGTTCATCGATGACCGGCTACAAGCACATACAAACCTCAACAACCAGTTCTTTCTGCTTTTCTAGCCCACAGAGACCTCCAAGCAATGGTAAGAAATCAGGTGCACCAAATCCAGCAGGGTGGTCAATGAGCCCAGTCTTCATCAAGAAGTAAGACCTGGATTTAGCAATCTTCTATCAAAAACTGCAGCAAGAAACATGGCTATCACCTTTTGTGTTTCCATGTGATTTGTACTGTTCAACAGACAAAAAGGCTTCACGCTGAAGCCTTAACATTTTCAGGAGCTGGAATAAGTGTTTTATCCCTCATTGGTGGAATAGCAGGCTAATGGCTCTGCTGCAGAGAAAAGAGAGCTGCCAGGGCTCAGCTGAAGGGATCTGAGCATTCTGAGGAGCTCAGGAAGAGAAGGTCCAGCCACCTCCAGAACAAGCTGGACAGACCCTCGAGGGGAGATTTGACCAAATCACCGCTCAGCTCCAAAAAGCAGAGGTCTGAACAAAGGCTCACTCCAGGACAGCCAAATGGTGACAGGATATAGCAAAAAAGCCAAGTCTAAAAACTTGCACTACGGGACCAAATACAGGCTCAAAATATGATGATGGCTTTGTAAAATGTCTTTTTCTGAGCAAGGAGAGCTGCATGTGTCTCTTGTGCTCCAGATGACTGATGGAAGGACCAGAGGATAGAGCTGGCTGCTGGCTGGTAGTGCTTGGGTGAAGCCTGGTAGGAGATGGGGAAGCCCAGGAAGGAGGAGCTTTGGCCAAAGGGCTGCTGTAGTAAGCAGGCAGAGGGCGATTGCCCTAATGAGGAACAGAAAGATGGACTTTAAATACTTCGTAGAAGCTGCTGTTTCCTCAGATTTCTTCCTGCAAGACTGAGCTGCATGGCCAGGGCTGGGAAGATGGTGTGCAGGGCCCTGAGGTGTGAAGCCACTGGAGAAAAAAAAGTGTGGCCAAAGCATCCACCAGAGAAAGGGGAAGGAGGAGGACTTTTTTCCCCTCCTGGCTCACCCCATGGGTCTGAAACCAATCTGAGGCAGGCAAAAATCTCCCATTTCTCCTCATTTGGAAGTCGAACAGATAATGGGGCAGAGCAGCAGGGAGAGGTTTTCACTTTAACCCCATCACCTTCTGCTGTCTTCTGCCCAGAGGACCTAATGCAAACCATCGGCAAGTCTATTTTTGGCAGGCGGTAACTACGCTGAAATCACAGGCTGCAACAACCGCACACTGCTGGGTGGCCGAGAGGCAAGAATGCAGAGCCCTGCTCATTAAGCACTGCTATTTACGTTTATCACTAAGAGTTTTTGCATTGTGCTCCAAGGACCGAGCCAAACAAGCAGTTATTATGTGCTCCTTATTTCATTATTTGTGAACTATCGCAGCTGAGTCACTCTCGCTGTGGTGTTTGCCACGGCCCCTGTGGAGCCAGTGGCTGGGTAAAAACTGCTGGGGCATCCTCAGACCTGAGCTAGTGCCGTGGTTTCACTGCTCAAGCTGCCATCATAAGGATTTTTAGCATCGTGAGGGTATTCCTCACTGCGTGAGCATCAGTGCTTCCAGCTCGTTGGGTGGCCCAATCTATCTCCAGTCCCGCTGGGTATTTTGGAAAGCTCCCAGTCGGAGCTGCTCTTACCCACACTTTCTTTCAAAACCATCCTTTCAAGCAGCAGGTCCCTTTTAAAGCTGTTCCTCCACTACTATTCCCACTACATTAGCAGGTTTGATCGCTACAAAGGCATTTTTAGGAATGAAAGGTGGTGGTACAGGGGTAGTTAATGTGGGGAAAAAAAAAAAAAAAAAAAAAAGTAATTTGAGCTCTGGTGACACTTAGCTTTGTGAATACCTATTGAAAAAAAAAAAAAAAAAGCATTTCACAGTTAAAAATAAATAAATAAAAGGATAAAAGGCTTTTTGATAAACAGCATATGCACACAATGCACACTGAGCCCACCAGGAGCAGCCTGGCTTTCTTGAGTAGGGGAGCCCTCAACATTTAGCTCAGCCCCTGGAAGTTACAGCCCCAAGCACACGGTGTGCTTTAGCTGCACACTGTCCTGCCGACCAATAGTTCAGTGTCAGATAGTTAGAAATGAATGAACTTGGCATTTCCGAAAGAAGGGAATTACAGCAAAAAAAGTGCTTTGTGGCACTCACAGAGTGCAAAGTGCTCCTGGTGTCTCCCAGTGTTCCTGGGCACCCCTGGGCTCTTGAAAGCAGCAGGGTTTCTCCTGGCAAGCTCCTGTCTGAGGACGGGAGTGTCTCCTGCAGAGCTAGCCAGAACATTTTCATTAAAAGTTGTTTTCTCTCAAAAATTCCTGTTGTTTATGCAGAGCTTGAGCTTGGCATCTCACTGTTTTTGGAAGCACCTTGGGTCTTGTTACAGCTCTGGAACCTCACCCCATTTTTACCCATCCGTAAAGCTCAACCTATCATTTGTAGGCAAAACACTTACCTGGTGTCACAGCATCCAAACATTCACCTTCATTTTATAGCATATAAAGCGATATATAAAATAGTCCGTTTCTGTTCCTTGAACTTTTTCTGTTGCCTTTCTGCGTGGACTACCTCCAGCCTGCTCCTGCCCACCCCTGCTGCTTCTGCCGGGGATTAGAAGCCTGATTTCCAAAGAGCTGGGATAATTATTTTGCTTAACTCAAATTTAAATGTGTTTAACTCAAAGCTATGAGCCTGTGATGATAAGCCCTGTGAGGGCTGAAGCTGAAAACACTGCTGGTGACTCGGCAGGTGGCAGTTTCCAGTGGGCACCTGGTCCATGCACGCTGCCAAACATCACTGTTTGTTTTCTTGCTCAGCTTAGGCCATCTGAAACCCATTTGCCCTCCACAACCCCAAAAAGGAGGTGGGGAAATATCCTGGATCCATTTGGATCAGACAAACGTAGCGTCTCCACGTGAAAGTCACCACTCCATGACCTGCCAAATCCTTCAGCAGCAGCGAATTATTTAACGTGATTTACGGACGGACTTGTTCCCAGCCCATTATGCGTTCCCCCGATATCTCCTCTTCCTTCGCTCATCGCAGGATGATTCTGAGAGCTCACTTTTTAATTCCTTTAAGCACAGCAAGATCTTGCTGTGGCAAATTAATGAAGATTTCTTAAACCCCAGTTTACCTTTCATTCAGTTAGCTTACCCTTCATCCAGTTCCCCTAGCAGACAGTGAGAAGCTCCTTATTTTTTTCCCACAGTTGCCAAATCCTCTCTCAGAGAAAAAGCTGGCATTTACCATACTTACTTCTTCATTTTTCCCTGAGCTGATGGTGAGAGCCTTGTGCCATTCCCCAAACCACCCAGCCCCATCACCCAAAACACTCCCATCTGGGTACCACCACCTGGGGCTCAGTCATAAGGCAAGGATGGAGCAGGGCTGGGAGCTTTCCCTTAAAGAAACCCTCAACTCAAGCATCACTTGCATCGCATTTCAAAAATGAACTTTTTTTTTTGGGGGGGGTGTGATATGGAAGCCCTGGGCATTTATCTCAGCAGAGATGGGGTCATCCTTCATGCCCTGGTTTGCTGCACCTGGCAGTAACGTTTTGAGGACAGATCCTGCTCCACACATCCTACAGCTGTGGCCCCAGGCAGGGGGTAATCGTTTCAGCCTCTGGTTTGCTTCAGCCAATGTACTGGCTGCTGATTAGTATAACCATGTTGACAACACGCAAGCGGCACCGCAATGTGCAGGGTGACTGGCACTAATTTCAGAAAATGAGCGTGAGCGCTCTTTTATTGTCAGAAAGGGAAGAGCTGCCACGAGCGGCGCTCTGTTGCTATAGGAACCCCTAAGCCCTGGGGAAATGCCAAATTGCCGGACTGACGTGGCTCCTTCCAAGGGGGAAATGGGAATTTGCAGTCCCTTTCTGATGCCACCCCTCCTTGTCCACCAAGGGCGTTGGGGTAACCTCAGCACGCAAAATGCAGCCACGTGCGGGGGTTTGGCAGAGCCCCGAGTGCTCTGCTGTGGTTATGCCATGATAAATGCACTATCCTGCAATTCCCCTCTCCAAAATTTGGCCTTTCTGGCATAGGTGCTTGGCTCTGAGCTTTCATACATGCAGCTGGAAGTGGCCTCAGCTCAGCTCTGTGCGACCAAACCTGTCCAGATGGGCTCTGGAGTCCCTATTTCTATAGTTGTCGAAGACTTTGGAGAGCCCTTTCAGGTGTCCCTGTCTCTTGTAACCACCTAAAATTTTGTGACACCCATCCCTGTTTGGGGAGGAATAGTTCCCCATCCCCAGCAGACCTCCAGAGCCAGCAGCGAGGAGGAACTGAGGCCGGAAAAGGGACGTCCCCATGGTGGAGACACACGGGCACAGCTCTCTTGCTGGATAAGGTGAGTTCATGGGAAAAGAGGTCAAGTTTGATGAAAGCACCCTCCAGAGTTACCTTAGGGGATGGAGATCCCACTGGGATGCACAAGCTGGCTGGTTAAAGGATGGTAACACAAGCAGTGATCCTGATACAAACTAGGGGAATAGTCACGGTCCCATCCTGTACACGCACAGACAAGGAAAAAAGAATTGAGCCCCAGAGCTTGCCAAAGCCCAGCTTGCTTCCTTGCAGCCAGCCCAAATAGGTTGGATTTAAGAGTAATTAAAAGATGGATGAGATCAATGCAAGAGCAGCATGGACGTGACAAGCGGTGGTGTCAGCTCACCCAGCACCAGTAAGTGTCTTAAGTGTCCTGAAAAAGGAGAAAAAAAAAACAAAAATAGCTGTATTTGTTGGTAGTGTGCACGTGATGCTTACAAATGTCCAAAGTTGGGGGCTGAGATACTTTTGTCCCAATAAATATGATAAAAAAGAGTACTGCAATAATCCTGATGGGATGTAACAAGAGCCTGGAAAAAGCATGAGTGGAAAAGGATGGATTTTGAAGATTTATTCTCACAAATGCATCCATGGGCACAACCTCACCCTTCTCACCCCAGCAGGCACCATCACGCTACCAAAAAACCACCAGCAGATACCCGGGCAGGCTTCCTGATGCTCATTGCTCACATATTAACAAGAAACCTTCATTCATCTGCTTGCCGCGGGGAGTTTTCAGGCTTCCAGCTCCTTCCATTCAGAGAAGACGACAGAGTTTTCCGGGTCTCCGTAATTATTTACACGTGGGCTGTATTTATTGGCAATTAAATGGTTCAGCGGCTCCGAGACATCAGTCTCCTCTAAACATGTTGTTTGCCAGATTGCTTCCTGCCAGCAATCCCTGTGGGCTGGGAAATGTTGTCGAGCCCTCCGGGGCTGCGTGTTCGGGAGGGAGCAGCTGGCAGAGCCCCCCCGCCGGGGCCACGGCGCTCCGCGAAGGCTGGGAAAAAATAATGCGATAGCACAGCCTCACGTTCAGCAATTCGGAGGCTGGGGGGGGACTCGGGTTTGTTTTAAACACATTTGCAGATCGGGGCACCGGGGGGTCAGGGAGGAGGTTGGGATGGTGTGCGCTGCATCTGCAGGAAAAGGCTTGGGAAAAGCACAGCAATTCGGCAAAACGTGCAGTGGTGTGGTAAAAAATCCAGGGGCTAGGGAAATACCTGCAGCTAAAACATGCAGCAAAGCTGGCAGGGCACACAGTGGGCTGGTAAGGTATGGGGCAAGCCCAGTAAAACCTTCAGTGATTCTAGAAAAATGTGCAAAAATCTTGATGAAGCAATGACTCCGGCAAAGCATGCCGTGATC